AATGATTTAGGTCTCAGTTAAAAGATGAATTACTGAATTTTGTTGCATTGAATTCCTTTTGTGGAGCCTGTATTTTTAATACATTTTGGATGTCGTCAGTTACTTTTTAATTTTACACCAGAGCAATTATCTTAGTGTTTATCTCAGAAGTCATCTGATAACTCAATGATAGACCTTTGGATCATGTACACATGATAAATGATTTTGCATCTGGGTGTAGTCACTTCTGTTGTAAACTGTATTTACTGTTGGAAAATTCCAGTGTCTTAAATGGGTTATGGCAACAAGAAACTCTGTGATTATATGTTTAGCACATAAAAAGTAAGTGTTTGCTCTGAAGCCACTTTCATTTAAGTGGGGTATGGATTATAATAGAGCCATTCTTGATACATTCCTAATTAAATCAGGAATAAACTTGAGCACAGGTGCCATTTGTAAGAGATTTTAAAAGCCGGCCTCCGGTCCATCATGCGCCAGCCAACTATGTGGTTTAATGTTACTAAATCTGTATTAGGATTTAAGAAAAAAAAAAAGGATTTCCTCTCTTCTCTGCTAATAGTAGCAGCAGAAGAATCAGCATTACCGAGCACAGCACCACTGTCAGCTCTGTGCTGCTGCTTTGTCTCTCCTCGCCTCTGGCACACTTCATGTAAGTCGATTGTTCACAATGGAAACTGTTTCCTTCTTCACATGAATTTTCACATTTCCCCTTTGTTTACTGTAAACCAGATATTCTAGACCAGTGCTTCGCGGAATTCAGTGCAACTGAATTAAACAAGACGCTGCAAGAGGTCGACGGTTTCATTTTCAAAGTGCACATTTATTTATTTGTTTTAGAAATTTGAGCGGAGAGACTGAGCTCGGCACAAAAAGTGTTTTACACTTTGGCATGAAACAAACTCTCCTCATCTGACTCTCAGTAAGAATAAATGTACTCTCCAAATACGGAACCATTAGTTTACAAATAAAGCTGCAGCTCGATAACACTTAGCTTAGCACAAGAACTAGTCATTTTTATGCTATGTTTTTGTCCTTAGACATTAACAAAACAAGATATAAGTGTTAATAATTGAGCTTCGGTGGTGCAAAGAGGCAGAATATTTATGTGAAAACCAAGCATGCTGTTTCGTCCTCTTTTCAGTGTTTGTGCTAAGCTTAGCTAGCTATGTCCTGGTGCTAGCTTTGGATTTACTGTACAAACACTGAGTGGTTAAAGCTTTGAATACAGATGGATGAAAACTTCACCGCAGAATTCGGAGGCTAAATTTATCCGTTTTTACCTTCCAGTTCAGGGTATATACCTATTTCGCATTACAAACATTATATGGTGAGAAATTTAAGTTGTCCTGCCAAGTGTGAAACCAGTTTTGTGAAATACTTTGCTAACTATTATGCGAACACGATGTACGTTAGACAGATGGGTTAAGCTAGCTGCACTAGTTCTTTTTAATTACACATTTACAAAGAAATTGACTGTTACACAGTTAGGCAACAGAATAGCCTGTTAGCTGGTTAGCAATTTTTTTCTTCCAGTGTCTTGGCACACGGTGTAGTCTCTCTGAAATCCAGTGCAGACATTGAAAATTGTCTCTGCAAATTCTGAGATAGTGTTCGGCAAACACATTCAAGACCACAAACGTTCCCAGCGAAACAAATGGAGCTCCGGTTGACTCACTAATGTACACAGACCCATGTGGGAACGAGCTCCACATATTCACACATGCAAACTACTGAGCATGTGCACGTACACCCTCGTTGCATGCTCGCAATCTGTGCAAACTCAGGGAGACAAAAAAACGATGCACATTCGCAGATGCGGAAAGTATATTTTAAACTCATAAGCTTTACTTGTTATTGTATAACATTGTGTTATTTGACATTTTAATGACTTCATTTATCTGCAGAAAATTTATCTTATTTGCAAGTTTTCAGGCATTTACATGTTGATTTATTTTAATAAATCCGTTTAACACACTGTTGTAATGCCCTTTATACGCTAGAATATCTCTTTGTTGTTTGTTTTTCTTTCTTTTCCGTTCTCTTTGCTTTTGGTATTTGACTCATTGAAACAGAGGGCTGCCTTTGAATGGTGTCTGGAGTGTAAATAAAGGTTAAATGAATTCTTTGTTATCTTCCTGCTGCACGTCATGTTTCAGCTTGACAAAGGCAGAAACACATTTACCTACAGAAATGTAATGAGCTCATGTTGATACACGAGTGTTGTACTTGTGGTGTATTTCTGTGGCAGTTGGAGGATTGAGATATTCTGACAATCATCTGAGCGTGTACATTTTTAAAAAAACAACTTCAAAATCTTGAAGCAGAGTTTCAGCTTTGAGCTTTTATCCATCAAGGGACAGAAAGCCGGTGGACTGAGAACTGTGCTGCCACCAGGTTCAGGCTGATGAATAATTCAGTTTAATCTAATTCAGATGGTATGAATGTGATTCACATGACCACAAACCAGTTTGTCATCCCAGTGTAGCCTCGTCATGCTTATCAGCAAGTTTCAACATGAATAAGTATTCATTTCAAAGCCTATCTGTCACTGTTGCTCAAGTATTGTTATGTAGCTTTCAGGTTTTTTTTTTTTTTGGCTGTTGTTTTTTAAATCTCTCAGTTGTTTGGAGCCTGCTTATTAAAAAACACAGAATAGGTGGTTATCCTAATTAGAGCAAACAACACTGTAATCAGGTTATTGAGGTGGTTGTTAAACTGAGCACATGTTCCCATCAGTTAACGAGTTGCTTTCACATTCATTTTGACAAGAACAAAAGCTTTGCATAACTCTCTGGTTATCTGATACGGGTTGGCTGCGATGTTTATTGACGCTGTCGCTGGTGTTGGGGCTTACTGTTGAGTGTTCACTGGTTTTTATGGGACGGTTTGTGTTTTCATTCATGACTATAGTTTACTTCATATGCCTTTCAATTCACATTGAGTTTCTTTGCACTGCAGTGTGGTTTGTGGGATTTGGTATTGAATATGTCAAAACTATGAAGAAGTCTGACTGTAGTGCTTCCTCTTACTGTTCCTCTTTATGTCTCTGTATGTGTGTGTGATGGGGTTTTTTTGTTTTTTTTTTCCAGAGGCAGCTGTTGGGCACCAAGACCCCATCTCCTGAGGAACTGACTGGTTGGAGGAAATACTTTAATAGCTACACAATGCTGGGTCGCCGAAATGTACATAATGCACTCACAAATATGTCCAGATGCAGCTTTATACAGACGTATCAAATCCTCACATTCTGAAATGTGTCTTTGTCTTGCAGTGTGTTTTGGCTACTTATGGGTTCCTGGGGGCTACACTAGCTGCCTTCTTGATTCGCAGACAGTACAAAAAAGAAAACCAGACGTCCACCTCCACGGACGAAAGTCCAGCCTCTCAAAGTGACATTGGTACCAACTGAGAATTATTTCTGATGTGAAGGAAACAGCACGACACCCTCCAGAGTGAGAACATTGTCAGCTGAGATTTGTTAATAAATGCTTTTGTCTGCGCCTGTCTGATCATTATTTAGCGATATTATGAGAAGTCACGTTGGTTGCCATGGCATCACGGACCGTGTGTGTCTACAGTGAAATTTGTTTTGCCACATGGCGTCCATCTGCTGCTGAAGAAACCTCACTTTTATTTTTATTTTACGTTTTCTGCGCTCACTACACAGCTTGCATTATTTATGAACGCGACAAAGATCACATCTGAGCTCACAGGCATCGTTGAAGTCTTTGTGTTTCGTGTAATGTTGCTGCTCCGTGGCACAGTGGAAACCCTGACAGGACATGGAAATAATGAGCTCCCAAGAAAAGATACAGCTCTCCAAGTACGCACTTCTCACTAATTGATAACGGAAGCCAAGACCAGAATAGAAAGTAAAACGCAAGTCGACACACAAAGCAAATCTCTGACTTAACATTCACTGCACCTCTGCATTCGTGTTGTCTTTTTGTGGAGGACGTAAGTGGACTTTTGTTTTTTTCCTAGAAACTGCAGATATGTGGGACCTGATATTGTCTGTCTCCTTGAGACAGAAACACAAAGCAAAGTCGAACTGTTGAGATTTTTACCTTTTTAAAATATGAGAAAGTTAATAAAGGAAGTCCTGGAGTTGCAGATCTGTTTATCAAAAAGTATGTCAACAGTAATAATTAACTGTAGCAGGAGAAGAAAAGTCACTGTACTGTTTACGTATATATATATATATTACCTTTAATGATTAAAAATATATATATAATTAAAAGGTTATATATGTATAGAAGGGCAACAAGAAAAGGCCATTTTGCATTACTGTTTATATGCTTCTGTGTATGCATGTTTTTTGTTTTTTTTTGTGCAGCTTTATTTACTTGTGCTTAAAATGCTAAAGACATTTTTGTCACTTAATACTACGCCTAGGATGTGTACCCTGTGTAACCGATCAGACTGAGTAACTGTACAGGGGGCGCGCTTCTGGTAGATCACGTGGTTTCCCAGAATCTGCAGTACAAGACAGAAAGTGAAAGTAAGCCGTGCATGTGTGTGTATGTGTGTGTGACAGGCTTTAAAGTGCCTGTCACACTGTGCAGAGTTAAAATACGTTTCTCACTGAGTATCCTGTCACAGTTTTTTTTTTTTTTTTTACACAACCTATCTCGAGGGGAGGGGCTGCAGGGTGGCGCTGTTGCCTCGCAGCAAGAAGGTTGCCGGTTCGCGTCCCGGTGGGGGCACCGGAATCTTTCTGCATGTGGGTTCTCTCCGGGTTGTCCGGCTTCCTCCCACAAGGTCCAAAAACATGTAGAGGTCAATTTGCGATTCTAAATTGTCCGTAGGTGTGAATGTGAGTGTGCTTGGTTGTCTGTCTCTAAGTGTAGCCCTGTGATGGACCGGTGACCTGTCCAGGGTGTCTCCTGCCTTCACCTTAAGTCACCTGGGATAGACTCCAGCTCCCCGTGACCCTAATGAGGATTAAGCGGTGTATAGATAATGGATGGGGAGGTCGAGGGGAGGTCCTAAAAGCTACGTTACGTCTGTGTATGAAATTGAAAGTGAAAGTTTCAGGCAACCTAGTCGAGCCTTTCTGTTGCCAGCAGTCTCACTCCAGATCAGCTACGCTTAAACTCAACAGGCTCCGACTGCTGCTTACAAGTAAGTAGCAAAGAATGACTTAATTAATGCACGATGAACCACTGCAGTTTTGGGTTTTTTTGGCAGTAATGCATGTAGCTGCAGTACCCTCATGAGGAATAGCATTAGAATTCAGAAACGCAAATGTGCTATTTGAAGAGTATCAAGCAGCTTTTAGCAGGACTACCTTCTGTTAGGTGTGGTAGGTTACTTAGGATTGAACCACCCCATCCCTCAGGCATTAGCATAATTTCATGCCTCATTTAAAATCAACATCATGTAAGACTGATGTACAAGAATGTGTAGAATATGCTTCACAAATGACGGAACCATTTGTAGAAATATTTGCCTGGTTTTCAAATCATTTTCTGCTACATGTTTTTTTCACTTTTTCGTAACACTATTGCAGCTCTTTGCAACTGTTCACAAACGTTTGCTCTGTTGTGTTTTGATTCCATCTAAAAGTGAACAGTGCCTGCTTTATTCAATTCTGACTTTTTTCTTTTTTTTTTTAAATTTTAATGTAAAAGTTCAGATCAGCAGCACAGTTACGTACAGCCGTGCTCAGTGTGTAAGCCCTTAAACTGAAAGTTAAAGCTGTTTCATTTCAAAACTTGTATAATTAACTGGAACAGCAGGAATTTTGTATTATATTACAATATGTTACAACGCTTGTATATATTACAATATGGACAAACTGCACTGTTCCACTTTGTGATCAAGATGCAGGAGTTCCAAACATACTGTAAGTTCATTACTAATAAACTCCTTTGTAGAAAAAGGCAGAAGAGTTTATGTGATTTGGTGAATGTTAAAATTTCTTTTTCTCTTTTTAAGAAATTTTAAGTGCTTATTAAAATTATGAATCAGCGTGCGGTTTGTCTGCACTTGTCACCATTTGAGCCAAAAATGAAATTGAAGCGGATTCAAAGTATCAAAAACAATCAAGCACAAGTATAAAGGCTGTATGCGAGCAGAGTAAACACTTACTACCGAGGTACTGCTCACACAGCATTCATTATTAAGACCGACTTGTTCTAAAGCTTTTACAAACGTACCCTGAATGCTGGTTTTGTTATTCATGTCAAGGGACTTTTAGACTTTTCTCTGGAAAGGAGCCTCATGAAAAAAACTGACTTTTTCTGAGAACTACGTCATACTGGATTTTTTTTTTTACTTTACAATGAAGAGGAAAGCCACAGAATCTTTTTTTTTTTTGTCCCACTTGAGTGAGAAAGTGAAAGCGTTCTGTGCTTTATTATCAACATCCGCCCCTCCCAGTGGTCACTGACATGAACGTTTATTGTCAGTCACATGGCCTCCGATTCTGTATAACAGAGTCTGTGTCAAATGTGAAGCTACAGTCCACAGCAACATAAAGTCAGAGGAAGAGTTTCAGCTCATTAGTTTGACTGTTTACTCCGAGACTTTACTGTTCTGGATCTCCGGCTCTCATAAGAGGCTGCAGCAGCAGATGGATTTTTGCAGACATTCGTCATGCCAGTATTTTACAACTTGTTTTGGCTGATAACATCATGTGCACATTTTTTTTTTCCCTCCTAACTGCAGCGAGCATCAGGTCCTGTAGTGGAGTTAGCATATTGTTATTCCGACTGTCGTCATGTTGACTCATTTTCAGCTGCGAATGTGAAATGTAATGCTTTCAGACGTACCCATTCACACAGCAAACACGTCAAAGTATATGCAAAACATGCCCGATTTCATTTTATCTAACCTTTTTAAAACGAAAGTGTGACTTTGAGCGTGACAGACATCATCTGCCTGTCAGTGTTCACTTTCCACAAATTCAATTTTGAACTTTTTATCGGCTGTTACCGATATCATCCTGCACCAAACAGCAGACAGACGCAGTTCAGGATCAAAGCTGGTGAACAATTAGCAGCTGCAAAGCCTCTGGAGTTGGTGAAGATCAAGAACAAAACTGAAAGAGAATGAATATTGGACTTATATTAATCGGGTGGCCAGAAACACAGAAAGTCTAAATGACAATGAGGATATTATCTCGTACCTGCTGCATGTTTAAAAAAGCAAAGGTTTACCAAGAAATCAACTTGAAAGATGATATGTCAGTGTTGTGTTCAGCTCTTGTTTCTACTGCCCCAGAGTGGCCAAAAATAAAACATCATTCGTTTTAGGATCATGTTCATGCAGTGGAATATAAGACTGTGATTTTCTGTGTTTACTTTTCACCGAGCAGATTCAGCCTCTGCTCACCCCTCCTGAACTTTTGGATCAATACGTCTGAACTGAGGTCTCAGCAACATGGAGTCTGGAAGAGGACCGAGCGGCAGATGATCGACCAGACAGGAGACCGTGATGGAGGATCTGCCGGTGACAGGCGGAGGAACTGGTGCAACAGGCGGCTAGGAAGAGGATTCTCCTTTGTAGGATGGTCAGAGACAATCTTAACAGAGCAGTAGTACAGAGCCAAAAACCAAACCACGCAGCTGAGACAGAGAGCCAGAGTCAACCCACGGAGGAGCCTGCAGGCCCTGAGCCAGCACAGAGCCCAGAGAGAGTTCAGCCAGAGAGCCAGGAGCCCACAGAGAGGCAGCTGGATTTACTGCTCTGGAGCAAACTCAAAAAGGAAGGCCCCGAATCCTGGAGCCAGGTTAGCCCTCCCGTGTTTACTCACTGCTAGTTAGTTGTGGATTTTATTGCCTTGGGATTCATTTTTGTTTATTATTATTATTTATCAGTGAACAGATGTCTGAACTGAGACAAAGAAACCAAACAGCAGGATTTAATTCTGACCTGTTACAGACAATAGAAGTACTAATATGACACCAAAGTCACATTTTAGTGAGATGGAAGCATTACAAGTAAAAATACGCAACTATTAACACAAAAATATTGTTGTAACACAGAATGAATCATTATGCACAATCTCCAGTTTTAGGATAATGTGTGTGATATTACCGGATCATATTTATTGATGTTGTGGAGTTACTATTTTGGAGTAAAAAAGTAGAATATTTCCCACAAAGGGATGTATTAATTAAATTAGCTTAAAATAGAAAGTATGTCAGAAGTATTTTATGAGATGTCGCTGTGTACATGAGTGATCACAGAGTTTCTGAATTTGGCTAAACTTATGGCTAAGCATGAGCAGGGTTTTGTTCCAGCAACAACCACAACAATAATAATAATAATAACAATAACAATAATAATAAAAGTAATAATAATTTTTACAGTGGTATGTTTACATAATGCAGGATTAACGTGAAGACTCCTGTTCCATCCAAGGACTAATAACAATAATAATAGTAACAGTAATGATAATATTTTAATAAATACTGTCACTTTATTTGTAATAATGCAACTATAAATGACTCACAAACATAACGTGTGAAACATAATATAAAACTTTATCCACTGCTACAAAAACAAAGCATGATTTGTTTTTTTTCTGAGAAGAACAAAACTCATTATCTGTCTTTGTATTAGAAGTGAAGCCGTTCTGCATTAAATCCTCCAGAGAGAACAAACTAACACAAAACCTCTGAGGTTGTTGCAGTGTCCTAGTTTGGGAACTCCACTTTTAAAGACAAACACCACAGTTTATTAGTGGACTTTGGGCCTGAACTCAGGGCCTTTAATCTCCAACAGTGTGCAGTGGTGCCGTTACTATCATTCAGTGTAGTGTCTCTCAATTTAGCATTACTAGTCGCTTCAGAGACGATAAAACCAGAAGAATGAAATTGATAACACATGAGGAAAAAAATTAATGTTGGGGAATTTTTTTTTTATTTTTATTGATATTTGAAAAAAAAATTGTATTTTGTGTATTTATTACGAACAAATTCTGAGTTTGCGAGTGATAATAACAATAGAAAAACGATAAAGAATGAAATGACATTGTGTGAAAGAACATTTTTACCTTAAAGCGATTAACAGTAAATTGAACAAACCCAAAACTTTAAATAAAAGTTCAAGTTTACTGTCAAATCTAGACAAATCATTGTGACCCATGAAGTGAAATGCTTGTAATAATGCATGCTCAACTTAAAAATATTATTTACAATGCAATGTAAAATTAGAAAAAGAACATATAAAACATAAAAACCATCATTTACATTAGATGTATGAATTAGAGATGTTTGCAGGAGTGTGTTTGATTTCAGAAGAGCCAATAGTAATAATAAATTACAAGACAATAATAAACTTATATGCTAAAAGAACCATGACGAGGAAAATAAACAGTCAACACCACGACTGAGCATTTCCCCCTTTAAGCTGCAGTGTTGTGCTAAAATGCAGATTCAGGGCACTTTGTAGATCTTCACATTGTCGAGGAAGCGACGGTGTAAAGCTGCAGCTAAGCAACTTTAAGGCATGAAGGGATTATTTTAACGGAAAAAAAATAAATGTTTCTGACTCTTTCTAATAAATAATGCCGGTTTTTGTAAGTTTCCTACAAATTTCCAGTAAACTTTACCGTCTCATCTGTGGCTGATGCTCAATTCCAGCATCTTCTTTGAGAAAACGTGAATAAAAATACCACTTAAAAAGTGACACTGCTAATAGCTTTTTGCAGGCGTTCCTTTTAGGCTGTGCGCAAACCTTCACTAGTATGTACCCTGAGAGGTAAATCCCGGTCGGTAGAAGGTCTGTGATTCACTTTATGAATTCACATATAAGCTGTTTAGGTGTAGTCCAGGGATTTCTGTTGGCAGTAAAATCAGCTTTGTTGTGTGTGCAGTAAAGAAAAAAAACCCTCCAGATAACAGTGCGACTTTTATGTGTTCAAAGTCTCGTCTCTACATGTTGACCAATTTTTTCTGGTATCTCTTCTGCTGTAGCCAGCGCCTGGAGCTGACAGTTTGCCTACACACCTCCGTCCATTCAGCAGCGAAGCAGAGTACAAACTTGTGAAGTGCACTTATCAGCAGCTCCAACACAGCGGATACTACTGGGGTCCTATGAGCATGGAGGAGGCACATGATATACTCAAGAGTGCACCGCTGGGAACCTTCCTCATCAGGTAGTCAAATGCTTTCTTTTGAAAGTTTTAATGTAGTTTTATGCGTTTGTGGTTTTGTGTGCACTTTTTTTGATACTTTAGTTTTTTGCATACAACGAATTCCCTCATAAACGGGACTTGTGTGGTTAAATAAAGGTAGAAAAAAAGTCAGTTTTAAAGCTCATCCAGTGCAGTCTGCTTAATTTTCCATCCATTTGTGATGTAAAACACAAACACAAAACTTATATTTTACTCAGCTCAACTTTTGACAAATCCTGTTTTGTTAACAGCCATGATGGATTTCTTATATATTGTTTTTCTATGAATGACAAATGGGCTATATTTCAATTTCCTCTTTGACAAGCTCATGCATATACAAGGTGTGTCAGAAAAGTTTCAGAACTGATGTCACAAAAGATATATTTCAAATCCAAGCTACGAACTACAAGTTTTCCCCTTCCAAGTTATTCCCCTTGGGTTTTACGGCCTTTCCCCGGCTTTTTTTGCCCGGCGGCCTTGCCTTCTTGGAGGGTTTCTTCCGGGATCCTCTGCAGCTCACAGTAGGGGTGCACAATATGACAACATGAGATCATGAAGGATTAGAACATGGAGACAACCTGCCAAAGTCAGGAGATCATAAGGATGGTTTAGGTCACATTCTGTAAATTGCAGTTCTATGCTGATGCACTGACGCGCCAGACGTATTATGTCGTCAACCTGACCGACCAATCATAGCGAATTACGGGCATTGTTGCATTTTTTTTCTTGCTTGTTTTTTTTTTTTTTTTGGCGGTGGCGCATGGAGAGCCATGGCTGAAAGCCAAATGGAGGAGTTGGTCGCTAAAAAATACTCCACTTCCATTATGTGGAACTGTTTTGGCTTTTCCAAATTTTCTGTCCCAGATGTTCATTCTGCAAAATTTACAGCCGAGAGACTTTGCTGAACATCAGGGCAATGAGCATCGCTAAAATTGCGGCGATCGGTTGTACTTTGGACAGACTACACCAACAAGGAGTCCGATTGGAGACAACACCGGCAGTTACCAGAGAGAGAAGGAAGTGCAAGCAGTACAAACGTGAACAAAGGAGTAGGAAGAGAGCCAAGATCCATGCTAGGCTACAGGCTAACCCCTCCAGACCAGCAGGACCATCCTCCTACTCTCCAATGTCCGCTCCTTCGGCAACAAGCTGGACGAGCTACGTTTGCTGAGAGAAACCCACAGAGTGGAGGGACTGCTGTGTGTTTGCTTTAACAGAAACATGGCTCCATGACAACATCCCAGATGATCATACAGCTGGAGGAGATGTCATTATTCTGGGCAGACAAACAGACAGTTAGCTCTGGGCAGCATCTGCGGCTTCACCATCGTCACACCATCATGTGTGTTTTTGTGTCCCTGAAGACCTACCAGGACCTGAAGAGGTTCACCATGTTCAACGTGACGTGACGTGGCGGTGCGCATGGACGCAGCAGCCCCTTCAGGAGACAGCGAGAGTGAACGTTTAGTGTCTTATCCCAGACGTGCATTCCACAAAACTTACTAATTGAATAATCCTGAAGAAACGCTCTCTCATCTTGCCTGTACTACTGTGTATGTACAGCAAAATGACAATAAACCTGATCTGATTTGGAATGACAAAGCGCAAAGGTAATTTGCAAAGTTTGCACGGAGATGGTTCGCATGTTGGATGGCAATCACTTTACATACAGAAATGGTTTGGTTTCACTGACCAGAAACCTGCAAATTAATCTCAAAAATACATGTAAGATCGAGATAAAATCGAAATCGTGATTTTATAATTAAAAAAACTGTGATATGATATTTTTGCCATATCACCCACCCCTACGTCACAGCTATCTTGATGTCGTCCACATCTTCAAAACGGGTCCCCTTGATGACCCCCTTGAGCTTGTGGAAGAGGAAACAATCCCACAGAGCCAGGTGGGGTGAGTAGGGAGGTTGCTCCAGCACAGAGATGTTCTTCTCAGCCAGGAACTGTTGGATGCTCAGGGCGTTGTGAGCAGGCGCGATGTCATGGTGAAGCAGCCACGACTTGTTCTGACACAACTCTCACCTCTTCTTGTACACTGAATGAAACAAACGCCGCAGGATCTCTTTGTAGACGTGCTGGTTGACCGTCTGAAAGGGATTGAAATGGATTTGAAATTTTGTGACACCAGTCCTGGAACTTTTCTGACACACCCCGTATTGTCATCTTGAACTATTTCCACTCCTGCATGTCCAGTGAAAACATCAAGCAAAACATAAACCCCAACAAATGCACTAAAAGTGACTTTCTGTTGCCGTGTTGTTGCAGAGACAGCGGCCAGCCGGATGTTTTCTTCACTCTGAGCTACCAGAGTGACGACGGCCCGACCAGTGTCCGCGTCCAGCTGACCAACCTGCTCTTCAGTCTGTACGGCAGCCACAGGACTTTTGCGACACTCTTCGCTCTGCTCACTTTTTACACCAGCTCGTCGTGTAAACTGACAGTGCCGTATCGCAAGCAGCGCCCAGAGCGGCTCAAGCAGATGTGCAGGAGGGCTTTAATAAGCACATATGGAGCAGAAAGTTTAAGCACCTTACCTGGACTCAGTACTCAAGTTAAAACCTACGTTCATGCGTACCCTCACTATATATAGACACACACCTGTGGACTGAGTGACTTTTGCTGTGTCATTGTGTTATTTTAAGTTTTTAAAAAAAGGCTTTTTATTTGTGTTTTTTTTATAAACAACACACGTTTTTCGGTGTTATGAATAACATGTAACATATCTGCGCAATATTCAAAAGTTATTTGCACACATCATTCAGATGTTTCACGGAGTACTCATAGCACATTATAGCAGTGTTTAATTAGTAGCAACATGTGCTGTCAGAAATCATCATCAGCATCACTGCTATTAATAATATTACATATTGGTGCCATGTTTTGATCGGATCCTATGTACACACTGCATCCAGGATACATGAGTCAACATTTAAACGCTGCTGTTGTCTGAAGCTGCTTTACTTGATATTTGACCACTGGATGGCAAAAGAACATCAAATCAAACTGGTGTGTGCAGAGCTTGTAGAATTATGGCTGAAATAGTCCTTCGCAAGTGAATTAGTGGCCTTACATTCTAATATTTTCTCCTCTTTCCCTGTGTTTTTAATGGAGCCAATAGCGGTTGTGGTTGCGAATATGTTTTTAATCCTGTGAGTTAATTATCTCCTCATCTCAGGTCAAAATAGTCATTTTCTGATAATAACTGGTGAATTATGTCATTATCTTGGGAAAACAATAGGTTATGTCAGGATAGAAGGGCAAAAAGGTCATTTTCATGAGAAAGTAAGGACTTCTTCACGTCACTTAAAGATGAATGAGGCAGAGAGTACAGTGTATATAGCTTGTGATGCAACTAGTCTACACGTGACGCCATATTTAGTTTACAGCAACTCATCCAATCCAGCTGGATCGCTGGATTACGCACCTTTATGAAGTTGCAGATGTAGGCCAGCCAAGAGGAAGCCTCTTTAGAATGAAAGCATCACAAGAAAATTACTTCTTTATTTTTGTGAAATAATTGACCTGTTATTATGAGAAAACAACTTTGTCGCTGTAAATCCAACACAATCAGTTGTACAAGGTGAAAAAGCACCACTGGGTAGCAGAATCGATAAACACTGAATGTAGGTTTGTCTCTAACCACTATTATATGTATTTATTTGATTCAGTTTTGATTTACAGTATTGGCCCTATTGAAGAATGCGGTTTTAACAACTGCTCATCAACACTTGAAATAATTTTACATAAAGTTACTGTCGTCTGACTTGTGGTACAACAAGAATGTGATCCATCTATCCATTTTCTATACATCGCTTAATCCTCAATAGGGTCGCGGGGGGGCTGGAGTCTATCCCAGCTGACATAGGACGAAGACAGGGTACACCCTGGACAGGTCACCAGTCTATCACAGGGCTACACTTGGAGAAAGACAAGCAAGCACACTCACATTCACACCTACGGGCAATTTAGAATCACCAATTAACCTCAACATGTTTTTGGAGAACCCGGAGAGAACCCACGCTGCACGGGGAGAACATGCAAACTCCACGCAGAAAGATTCCGGTGCCCCCCACCGGGACGCGAACCGGCAACCTTCTTGCAGCAAGGCTACCAACTGCGCCACCCTGCAGCCCAAGAATGTGATGCTTGTCCAAATTGTTTATGTGTAATGAATAAATGTCTTGTCTGCAAAATCAAATACATGTGAACCAACAAGGCTGGATTTCTGACCAGGCAAAGCGGGCAGCTGCCTCAAACTCGCAGCGATCACAAGCTGTGTAGCAAATACTTTGAGGTGAAATGAATAATTGCCTTTTTATTTTTAGCCATGTAGTTGTGCAGCTGTAGTGATGGTAGTGTCGGTCTGCCGTCTCAGGACTTTGGTGTAGACGGAAATATCTCAATAATAAACTAAAGTGGTTTGAATTAAGGGACAGATGTGTATACTGACAACACACTTAAAAATGCAAACTATGTAGTGCTGTACATGCATGCTACCTAACTTTATGGCAGTGGGACACTTCTCTGTTTCAAGTAACTACTATAAGTGGATATAATGCATATTCTCAAATACATTTCTGTGCAATCCATCTGTAACCAAGCTACAACGACTGTCATCTGAAAAGCTGTCTGCCCTTAAAATACGCTCTTTGGTGAAAATCAAGTTGTTTTTACTTTTTCAACATGTCCACGTGGCGTTTTTTAGAAGCTCGATGACACATCATGTGAAAAATAAGCAGCAAGCACCATGGTTGAACATTTCCACTTTGGAACTTCAGTCGACTAATGACAATCTCAAAAGCACAGATTCAGACCTCAGGACTTTCATATGTGACAAACCTGAAGAACCAATCCTGTCAGCTGGCAGAGTGGGGCTCTCTGTTTCATTGTTCTTCTTCAGAATCAATTTCCAACTGAAGCATGTTTGGCTGAATTACTCCAATCATACAACTTAAAATTGTGTAGCATGGAGGAGTTTTACGGTGTTAACCCTGTAACGCCTGAACAATGAAATAATTGCCAGAAAATTACATTTTTTGGGGGAAAATGGAGTGTTTAGTGAACCTAACAAATTTAAAAGAAAATTAAAATATCAATTTTTGTACATTAGTTTTAGTTTGTACAATTTTTGCTACATCCGGCATTTTTGGTGCAGAAATTATTGATCCATGGTGGATTATTCACACACTGAATGTGTTCAATTGTATACATTGGGTTTTTCAGGGGACAAAAAATATCACACTGATGATGTAGAGGACTAAAAAACTAATTTATCAAATATGACAGGTTGGGTGAGCTGGTGTGCTCCAGCTGCAGTGAGTGGGGAAGTGGGGGATTTTGACACGTGGAGTTAGATCTAAGACATTTGAAAGCATGAAGGGAACACATTAACTTCCTAATATGTAACTTTCCTGGGCTTTAATCAATGACCACAGAGGGACTTCAACTCAGACTCAGGCATTCTGTCAGCACACAACAGAAAGCTGAAGCACGAGCACAGGCCACATCCATTTGTTTTATCAAGTGTTCCGTCATCTGTTCCACTTGCTGTCCTAAATGTGACTGGCGGTGGCCCCTTTAGTCTAAATTAGCCCTGCATCAGGGACACACACATACACACACTTCCCTGGCCCTCCAATTATCTCTGTCTCATTAACCTTAACCGTGTTGATGTTAAACCATCTGTACCGTGACACACATTGGGGCAAAGGCAGGTTGTCAGTGAAGCACTTTCCTACAACAAGTGTTTTGACATAAAGGCGTCGTTCACGAGCGGTGCAAGCTGACACGTTCATGCTGGGTGTTTAAATGGATACAAATTAAAGTTAATAAATTGCGGGAGAGGTGAATGGAAATAAAAAAAACCCCACTCATTTCGGTTTAATGTAACGCCGTGTATTCTGCGTCATTATATCCACTTACATTTATTTATCTTCACCGGGTGTCCCGTGCGCTCTCGCGAGCCCGGACTCTGCCTCCCCGCTGTCCCGCGCGCAGAGTGCACCTCTCTGGCACGCGGCTGCACATTATTACCATCAATGTCAAACGACCTCTCGTGACTCCGACACGCGCGCGCTAACAGGGGGGGGTTACAACAACTGGAGAGGCGCGTGCACAAGCCGCTCTTGGTTAATGCCATATGTGACCGTGTGTGTGCGCGCGCACTTGATCTGGCGCGAGCTGGTCCAGCGCGGCGGCGGCGGCGGCGACAGCGGTCACACCTTCAACATCATCAGCGCTCTGCGGATTGAGGGCTCGTGAGATTTCAGCGGCGCGGGCTTGACCCACCGTGCAGGAGGGCGCTCGAGCTCCACGCACGGCACGCACGTAGACCCGGTGAAGTCGTCACGCGGATAGAATCTGTGGAATCTGTCGCGAGTGTTCCTGCGCGGCCGGAGAGCATCCCGATAGAGCGCGAGGTCCGCTCGGACGTGCTCGGTCGGTCGGTGCTCGGTGCGGTGTCGGCGGTACCGCGTGGAGGCGGAGGCAGAGAGGGACCTGCGCTGGACCCCCCCTGGCCGAATCGGAGCATCCCAATCCCGGCAGCGGCATCCATCCCTCCGAGCCTCAGCTCCAGCGGGAGGCCGGGAGCGGCGGCAGGATGTAGCAGCGGATTAACGGAGGAGAGAGGGGCGCTCAGAGGAAGAGAGCGGGACCGAGCGGACCGAGGCGGGACGGAGGGGACATGGGGAAGGACCAGGAGCTGCTCCAGGCCGTCAAGACCGAGGACTTGCTGACAGCTCAGCGGCTTTTACAGAGACCACGGCCAGGGAAAGCCAGTCAGTATCATCCGTCCATCCTCCTGTCTGTCACACACACACACACACACACACACACACACACACACACACACACACACCACCCGTCATTACCAGGTCAGGACAGTGCAGGCTAAATCTGATGTGATGCCATTTAGCCTAAATGGTGCACTGGGTTGTGTGTGTGTGAGTGTGTGTGTGTGTACTCTTCTGCATGCATATGTGTGATGTTGTGTGTGTGTGTGTGTTTTGTGCAATGACGTTGAGTGTGTGATAGTGATGACGTTGCACATGTGTGAGAACAGTCATCAGGATGTAATTAGAAATCAGGAATGCTTGTCATCCACATTTCATACAACTGACCGTTTGTGTGTTTGTGTCTGCATGGATGCACAAAAATGTGTGTGTGTGCACCAGAGATGATGTGGTCCAGGTATGTGTGTGTGTGTGCATGTGGGAGGGTGGAAGTGCACGAAGGTCCTACACTGCTCTCGGGACAGGGGGATTATTGGTGTGTGAAGACGCCAGATGTTAGTGGTAATAATGTGATGATCGTAAGTGTAGCCTACACGTGCAGACATCTGCATGCACGCACATATGTGGCGCTCAAACGTGCGTGTGCGCGGGTGCCTAACATGGAGTCAGCTGGGACTTGAGGTGATAATTAGATTTCAATTACAGCCTTGAAGCTGCTCTCCTCCTTTCCCATTTCACCACAAGGCCCCTCTCGATTCCTCTCCTCTGAATTCCTCTTCTCCTCTGCCGTCGCCTACTTTTCTGGATTCCTCCTCTCTCCGGGCCTCTCTGCTCTGCTACTCCTCTCCCCTTGTCTCCTCTTGTCTCACTTCATCCAGGCTCTCCTTCCCTCTTTTCTCCTATTTTGTCTCCTCTCTGCTCCTGACACACTGTTTCTCCTCATCTCCCGGCCTTTCCTCTATTTTATCGCCTACTTTCATTCATTCTCCTCTGCTCCAGTGTTTCCTTTTTTTCCCTCATCTCTTCTTTCTCCTTATCACCTCCTCGCCTCCTCTCACCCTGCCTCCATCCCTCGCTCATCTTCTCCCTGCTCCCCTTCCCTTCTCCTCTCCTCTCACCTCCTCCCCTCTTTCCATATCTCCCATTTTCTTCCTCTCTTCTCCCCTCGTTTTGTGCATGTTTGTCTCTGAACATTCCAGCAGTGCCATGGAAAAGAAAAATGCTTCTCCTCAAATGCCAGAACAGATCAGCTCTGAGTCCTCAGTCCACTGCACACTGACAAAGAGGAAAAATGGGGGAGGTGGATGGACGGGTGAGGGAGATGAGGGTGAGGAGGGTTAGCATGGGAGAGCGCGGGACAGACGGAGTGAAGAGCTGAGATATGGATGCAGGGAGGTGAAGAGGCAGGACGTGTTGGATGGAGGTTAAAGGGTGTGTGTGTGTGTGTGTGTGTGTGTGTGTGTGTGTCTGTGTGAATCCAGGTTTATGTTTGAATAATTAAACAGGAAGCCAGGTTTCTCTGCTGGAAGACTGTTGCTTTCCCAAAGCGCACACATGAACACACACCTAACACACACAATGGCAGGCGAGCGTGCACAGAAACACACTTGACACATTGGGTGTTAGTCATGTGCTCGGCTGTGTTTGTATTATTAATAGTATGCTAATGAAGTTCAGAGCAGCAGTGTGGCAGGTTAGAGCGAGTTGCTGTGGCGGTTGTTTGCTCTGTCAAAATGTCACAAATTGATGTAGGAGATTAAAGATATTGAAGTGGGAACAGCCCCGGTGTTGTGGGTTAAGCATGAAAAAGTAGCACATTTGTATGAAACGCTGTAATGTTTTACAGAAATCATTTGCACATTCCTGCTCAGTATTTCAGTGACTTTCATAATACCTTGGTTTGCAACACTCACCTCGTCTTCCTGTTTTTTTTGACCTGCAACAGTTGTTTTAAAATCTTTGCCATCCTTCTTACAAATTATTCTACGAGTCAGTGTTCCACCAAAGTCAACGTCCTCGTCCGTGAAAACTTACTCTGCAATACGACAGATTCAGATTCAGTCACAGTAACAAGTAATGCTTTTATTTTGAACGGCCACCTTGATTGTGTGATTTGCTGTTGGAGCTGGTTTTCACTAACTTTGCTGTCAGCTCTGCAGTAATACTTTGCTAAAGCGCATTAAAGAAAGATCTTGTGTATGTCCTCCTTATCAGGAAGGGGATTTGTGATGATATGTGGCCATATTAAGGTTTAACATTATACTGGTAACTGGCGATTGCATGACAGTGCATCTCAGGCAATGTGCGGATTACCGCTAAAGTAATGTAATGAGTAGTGTAGGAAGTTATTTTCTACAGGGAGTAAATAAGTAAAGTGATGCATTACATCAAAAAAGTACTGAACTTCTGAGTAACAAATACAACCCTGTTTATGACTACTTTATGACGCGACCCCCTCTTGGTCCCTTTGGAGCACTTGATCACTTTACTTCCCTAAATAATTAGAGGTACAGTTTTACAGTTCTTGGAGACACATTTACTCTCTCTCTCTCTCTTACCAAGCATTAAAGCAATTTCTGCACTGCAACTTTGTGGCTGGAGGTAACAGTCAGTTAGCCTAGCTTAGCATAGAGAAACAAAACACAGGGAAACAGCTAGCCTGGGATGTCACAACACCAGAAATACTGGTGTTGTGTAGCAGTTTGGTAGTCAGCATCAATACCATTGAAATTCTACGATTCTTGATACGAGATTCAGTAACAAAAAATAAATTAAAAAATAAGGGTGCACGCACATGCTTTATATTTTAACAGATTGAGCACGAACAGTAGCTACCAAAGTGAGCTCTAACTGATTTAGCCTACACAAACAGTTTTCGTGAACGTTTTGTGTTGAGAAATTGCGACAACTAGAACCCGATTGATACTGGATTATTGGGGCAGATACCAACACCAGTTTTAGTGAGTAAAACAATCTGACATAAATATATCAGTTGATATTCTTTTTATATACAGGATAAATATAAATGTCAGAGTTATACTGAAAATGGAACGTGATGGGGTCATTGTTTATTAATTTTCAGTCATGTATTTTGCAAGCTAGTAGTTAGCCACTGAACGCTCCGCACCACTGTACTCTGCTACATGTGCTGCAGACAGTGCTGTGAGTATTGTAAAGAAACGAGTCGGAGTACTGATAGACAAATGTGGTGACACCTTTCTAAACTACCTCAAGCATCTTTTTCTGCATCCTATTCTGGGGGGGAAAAGTTTTTGTATTGGCACATATCGGACAGCTTAGACGATGATGCCCATGTATCCTGCTGGTATATCAATCAGGCTCTCGCTACGACGGATCCATCTGTCACACTTGGTTCAAGGATGTAAGGATTTAGCTGACATATTGTTAATGTAAGGTTAATAACTAAAACTAACACAGAGTTTGTCATCTTTTGTTATGAAATGCTCTTTCACAGAGTTTGCATACTGACTTACAAGTGTCCATAACTTGGCCCCCAAATAATCCGAATCAAACCGCAAATATGTCTATGCGTGACCCAGCAGACCTGTTGCTGCACTTGCTGTCATGTTGTTGCTATTGTCCAGTATTTCCAGCACCTTCAGCATCCATCACACAGAATCACAGAAAAAGAAGCGCCGTCACCTTTTATAGAAGTTTGGCCTTGACTTCGTACCAAAGTATCGGTTCTTGAGGCGTCCCTTGTCTTGATACTGATACGAGTCTTATAATACTTGCTATCTCTGACGCAGAGTCTGAGCCTACTCAATATCAGCATTTAGGCTGATTAAACATCTATCTGACCAACTGAAATAACAGCTGTGACCTTCTTAAATTGACCTGATTTAAAACTGTAAAGATTGATCCATCCATCCATCCATCCATCGGGTTGTGGGGGGACTGGAGCCAATCCCACCTGGCATTGTGCAGGAGCCGGGGTGCAGTCATCGTTTACAGGCCTGACGTAGAGACAGACAACTATTCACACCCACATTCACACATGCAGACAGTTTGGAGTCACCACTTAACCTAAACTGTGTCTTTAGGCTGCTCGAGGAACACTGAGCACCCAGAGAAACTCCACAATAAAGATGATGAGCTTAAATTACTGATATAACATTGAGGAACATTAAAGTGGAGAATGTGACCCCTGAAACTGATGTGCAGCCATCTGCTACTGAGAAGATGTTTTTCTCTGTTCAACTCACAGTCTCACAAAGTTTTATTTTTGCCTGTCATCACGTTGCTCTCAGAATTAATGTTATGGCGAAAGCAGATAGGACCTACCGCTGGCGACGTTTGTCATTTTTCCAGTGGAAGTGGCAATCAGTGCTGGCACAAAATCAGAAGCTGTTAGCTGAATACTTTGTACACTCATCTTTGCCAATGAGAAAAAGAGAATATTTTAATTTTGCCAGCAGAACAGACTCAATCACTGGTGTAATCAAGTAATTTTTCACATTCACAGACTATAATTTCGCCTCTCATGTGCAGTGAAATGCTCAGGAGAGCAGCGCTTCTGTAGCTGCAGCAGGCGGAGGAGGACAAAACACAGCAGAGCACAGCAAAGAAAGGATTATAGTTTTATTTTGCAGATACTAATCCATTAGAATATGACTGGATCTACCCTAATACCAATACTAACTTAGGACGTCTGTACTCAAAAACTCACATTTGCTGTTTGTCATGATGAGCTTGAATACTTCTTGGCCAGGCACGGTAACTTCTGAGAATCTCTGGCTGCTGGTTGTGTCCAAACGTCTTCCGCTCGCCATAAAGTAGCAGATTGTAATTATTCCATTTAATAATAACAGTAATAAAAGCAGCTCTGCCTGAAAGGATTTCTCCTTGAAGTGTCAACGGGATCTCATATTCCTCCGTTGCAAACCCATAATCACCCTAATTGAAACTGTAAAATGAAAAATCAACTTTAAGCAGCTTCAACTTGCTTTTTTTTTAATGCCAAGAATCTTTTTTGGTTCTACTTATATTTTTATATTGTTATTATTACTGATAATTTACACTAT